AGCAAATAACATGAAAACAATTGATGGAGAGTAGAGATCTATTAAACTCTCTGCATCATGGGGACAGTCCTGGAAAGAGTTTGGTACATATCTTCACTGGAGTGGCAGTCCCAAAGGTACATAGGAGACTTTCTTTACACAATTCCTGTCTAAAAGTACCTCTGCGCTGTTCACCACGATTCCCAGTTAAGAGTGGTCCCGTTATAGGAAATGGTACATTGGTGGTGAAATGAGATTGTACTCTAAAAGGTAGATCGATCATGATGCCGCTATTGGCCTGGGACCAGACTGAAAACACACAAGTGAGATTAGAACACAAATCGCAAAGTTCTCATCTTAAATATGTTTGGGCAGGATTTGGAGACACGCTTTTGAAGTGATTGAGGTCTAGAACAGGCATAGGCAACCTTCGGCATTCCGGATGTTTTGGACTACAAATCCCATGATGCTTTACCAGTATTATGGGTGTAAGAGCATTATGGGGGATGTAGTCCACAATATCTGGAGTGCCGAAGGTTGCCTATGCCTGGCCTAGCATAATGGAGTGGACACAAATCTGGCTTCCTGCCCTCCTGATATCTATCAAAGAGTGGCTATGTGGTTCTCAGGAAGACTGACATCTAGTAGAGCTTTGTCGAAGAAACTTGGAACAGAGATTGTTTTGAGCTGACAGGATGTCCATTTTAGCTATGGCTGTCATTTTCAAATTCTGATAGACCCACAGCTGAGTCAGGTAAATATGGATTCCTGATTGATAAACAGTGTCTCCGAGCTGGGATAACCTCCAGTGGTCCAAGGAAGAGAGTAGCAGAGGAAACTGGAAATTTACTGACAAAGATAAAGGAGATAGCAAGCTAGGAAATGTTTTCCCTCCAGCTAGGCCATGGATTATTCAAGGAACCAAAGAGGAGCAGCCTGGATTTACAGCTTTGAACTGTGTCACGTCCCTCAGAGGACGTTCCCCTTGAATTTCATGGGGGTTTTGTCTCTTAAAAGTGTCCAGTTGGACTTTCAATAAATTGTATCTTTTTCTGGACCTCTCTGTCACATGTCTCCACAGCTTGGTAGTAAGGCATTGCATCCCCTGGCCCATTCTCATTATTGCTGGAGTTTTAAGCACTCAAATTATTCTCTACGCCACTAGGACATTTATAAACCTAGAATTGTTGTAGAATCCCATCTACGGATTGCTGGCAGAACAATATTTGTACAGTCAGATGTATTGTCCTGTAACAATCATTATGGTTTATAATACAGACCATTTAAATGAATTGATGCAAAACATACTGTTGTCATGTATGACACCTACTATCACTTATCTTCGCATTTTCCTTTTACAATTTGTCATGTTGTTCTGTCTTGTGGGAGTCATGTTATAGTCTCTTCTTTTGTTTCTAGTGATTAATGCACAAACATGAAAATCATTATTGTATTTTTTTTTTTTTACAAATATATTGTTGGTTATACAATGCCTCCCAAAATCCCATATTAACCCCTTAAGGACACAACTTCTGGAATAAAAGGGAATCATGACGGAATATTTCCGTCATGTGTCCTTCAGGGGTTAAAATGAAAGGTGTTTTCTTTTCTGAGCGGTAACCTGCACATTTTCAGGTAGACCGCAAAATACCATGCACCTGGTTGTGAAAATGCAAATTAGCATGGGTCTAGTTGTGATATTAAAATTTTTGATTCTAGTGTCTTCTGCTTAAAAGTGGATGAGCTGACTTCACAACCATCTAGATAAATAATCTCATGCATTTTTATAAACTGGAAATTTCAAGGATATAAAATCCATTATTATATTCAGGCTGAGGCAGAGAGGAATTAGCTCGAAGAGCAGTTGGTACAACTGGTCACTGCCTATGGATCATGGAGCATCTCTACTATTTTGTCATGGGGTTATAGAGGCACTGTGTGTATTGAGCCTGGAATTTCAACTCCAATATCCCCTACGGTAATCTGGCCCTGACTATGAATGCAGCACTACGTGATGTGAGTAAAACCTATTTTTCAGCTTTTATTGGAAAAAAAACAGTAATATAGGACATATATTACGCAGATAGCCCCCTCCACCAAAGGTTAAACCCTTTAAGAACTATCTGTAACTGTATATATATATATCACTGTTGTTGTTATTCTGTTCTTGCTTTTAACACACATTCATGTTTGTTTGTGTAAAATGAATACTGCCAGCAAACTCACATAGGAACAGATCCTTGGATCACCCCGTGACCCCCTGTACTTTCCGTTTGACTAGGAAAGGGTGTCTTATAATGCCATGTTTATTGTTCTTTAGAAAAGTCTTGTCTGTGTTTGCAAGAACTGCCGGATATGTCATTGTATATTGTTGGCTTTTACAGTTATTTAACTGGTCACAACACCCGCTGGCCATCTCCAATCTTTTTTCATTTGCCTGTGTCTTGTAATTCAACTACCACAGCAGTTAATGCGATTGTAAGATACAGTAAACATCGCCTTTTCATTTTGCGCTTGCCAGTAATGTTATTATGGTAAGATTGCGATCCCTGTTTAAAAGGTTAATTAACAGAATCATTGGACCTTGTGATTTGGGGTTTGCTGCAGCCAAATTTATTTCTGCAGTAATTCCTTTTAAACGTTCGGCTACTAAGATAAAATTACCTGTGTTGCTGCCTTGTCTGGCAAATGAAAAAAATAAATTATTTTTCTACTTCCTCTAATTAACATTTTGGGCTTGATTCTCTTAGCATAGTAAGGATTTACTGAATAGCAAACTTAATTGGAAATAATTGGAAAAGTTGCTGTTTTTCTCACGAAAATAAGCCCTCCCCTGTTAGTTCGCTAATCTATGTTCAGGAAAATTTCCCCTAACATAGATTTGCAGGATTCCATGTGCTGGTAGGCTAATCTATGTTCAGGGAAAATACATGACCTAGTGAACTGGTCTATGTTCGTGGCAATTCCCCCAAACATAGACCTGCTTTCTTGCACATGCTTGCTACCGTTTCCCCCCAAAATAAGACATAAGCCCTAGTTCGATATTCGGGGCAAAAATTAATATAAGACCCAGTCTTATTTTCGGGGAAAGATGGAATTTAGCAAGCTATCTGAACTGGTACTCCACTAATTGAGTCTACTAGTAGAGTCTTTAGATTATTTGAGCATTTGTTTCTAAATAACAATCACGGGTCCTAAATTAAAAGGTAAAAACGTTTTCTTTCCATTTTTGTGTTTAATGTGATGATGACTATTATACTTCCTTTGATGTCATCTGCTCTTTTATTTCTATATAAAAAAAGTTTTAGAGTATTTTTCTAGAAAACATTTTTTCCATGCATTTATTTTTGGTAGTTGTCAGTTATATCTGTTTTATTTTAGGAGAACCTGATGGATTTTGTTGACAAATTAAGACATTTTCTTGAAGATAAGTGGAAAGATGGTTAAATACGAACCGTTTAAAGAGACGTTCTAACCATGACCACAGCCAGCATGCCAATAGCGCCCTCCGCAAATTTCGTGTCAAGCCGGTTTTAAGCAGATTGACGCAAACTACAGGTTCCACGCATGGCCATGGTGTGGCCCCTGACTCCAGAATATTGCCATTGCAAAGATTATACTTCACATGCAAAATCTATTAATTCCAATTTTGAAATGAATCTCAATCTCTGCTGTAACATATAAAGTATAAGGTCAGAATTTGGTAAAAACAGCATAAATCCCAACTGTTTTGTGTCAACAATTCATGCTTGCAGGACTTTTCGCGAGCTGCTCCCTTCCTATGGAATAGCCTGCCTACCACCATCAGATTCTCCACTAGTCTTCAATCATTTAAGAAGTGCCTTAAAACCCATCTCTTTAGGAAAGCTTATGGCCTCCCAGAGTAACCTCTACCTTATATACCTGTCTCTTGCTCTCTCCTAAAGGGCAGCACTCTACTCTCTCTAGTCCAGCTCTGCTTCACTCCCACCTTATTGAATTGCTATTTCCTGTCCTAATGTGTATTATACCCCACCTCCTATACCCCACCTCCTGTAAGGATGGTCCTCTTCAACCTATCGTTCCTGTAAGTTTTCTTGTAGTTGTCCTATTTATAGTTAAATCCCTCCCTCTTATAATATTGTAAAGCGCTACGGAATCTGTTGGCGCTATATAAATGGCGATAATAATAATCATAACAATTCAGATCTATTGTGGAGGTCTAACCATGATGAACATGTTTTGGCACATATTAGCTCCCATAATATCAACTGAGTATAGTTTAAATGTTTCACATATATCTGCTCATCTGATGTCAAAGGGAAGTCCTACCCAGTATATTAATCAATAAGTTGACATTCTACTAAACATGGTATTGAGGGAAACGGCAAGAGGATTTAAAAGTTTAGACAGTAAACATAGATGAGTTGGATAATTTTTACCATATAAACTACTTTGGCCTGAAAGATACATACAATTCCCAGTTTTGTAAATAACACATATTATACCAAGGTAGAATAGTGAAATAGGGAATATATATTTATATATATATATTTTTTTTAATGTTATTTATTTTTAGTGCAATAGGGTATTGGAGACACGATTTTCATTAGGGTCGGTTGGGAAAGTGTAAAGTTTATGAATGCCCTATCGTTTTAACCAAGAATGCTATATTTACAATAATTGAATCTTTTAGTTAATATTTAATGAATAGGTGATGTCAGAGGTTGCATTGTGAAACAAATAAAGAATGATTGTGCAGGTAATAATTTGATGAGCTTTGCCAGATGAAGTCTTTATGTGACAGTGACAATCGGCACAGCTTAATCACATTTTTAACATAAGTAAAAGTGATGATTACAACTTGCACACATGAAACATCACTGCAAATGAAAAACCATTCCATGAGTAGAATGCCTATAAATCTGGGAGATTAAACAGCATTTAGTCACTGTTACATGGTGGGAAATAATACGGCAAATTTAATAATGACATTTTGACATTTAAGATTTAATTGCAAAGTTGATGAATGCAAATAGACTTTAACACAAACACTCCATTGAATCAATGGGAGACAGTTCATAGTCATTGAGAGACAGCTCTGAGTCATTAGGAGGTAATACTGAGATATAAAGAGACAGTTCGTAGTCACTGAGAGACAGCTCTGAGTCATTAGGAGATAATACTGAGATATAAAGAGACAGTTCATAGTCACTGAGAGACAGCTCTGAGTCATTAGGAGGTAATACTGAGATATAAAGAGACAGTTCATAGTCATTGAGAGACAGCTCTGAGTCATTAGGAGGTAATACTGAGATATAAAGAGACAGTTCATAGTCACTGAGAGACAGCTCTGAGTCATTAGGAGGTAATACTGACATATAAAGAGACAGTTCATAGTCATTGAGAGACAGCTCTGAGTCATTAGGAGATAATACTGAGATATAAAGAGACAGTTCGTAGTCACTGAGAGACAGCTCTGAGTCATTAGAGATAATACTGAGATATAAAGAGACAGTTCATAGTCACTGAGAGACAGCTCTGAGTCATTAGGAGGTAATACTGACATATAAAGAGACAGTTCATAGTCATTGAGAGACAGCTCTGAGTCATTAGGAGGTAATACTGAGATATAAAGAGACAGTTTGTAGTCACTGAGAGACAGCTCTGAGTCATTAGGAGGTAATACTGAGATATAAAGAGACAGTTCATAGTCATTGAGAGACAGCTCTGAGTCATTAGGAGATAATACTGAGATATAAAGAGACAGTTCATAGTCATTGAGAGACAGCTCTGAGTCATTAGGAGGTAATACTGAGATATAAAGAGACAGTTCATAGTCACTGAGAGACAGCTCTGAGTCATTAGGAGGTAATACTGACATATAAAGAGACAGTTCATAGTCATTGAGAGACAGCTCTGAGTCATTAGGAGGTAATACTGAGATATAAAGAGACAGTTCGTAGTCACTGAGAGACAGCTCTGAGTTATTAGGAGGTAATACTGAGATATAAAGAGACAGTTCATAGTCATTGAGAGACAGCTCTGAGTCATTAGGAGGTAATACTGAGATATAAAGAGACAGTTCGTAGTCACTGAGAGACAGCTCTGAATCATTAGGAGGTAATACTGAGATATAAAGAGACAGTTCGTAGTCACTGAGAGACAGCTCTGAGTCATTAGGAGGTAATACTGAGATATAAAGAGACAGTTCATAGTCATTGAGAGACAGCTCTGAGTCATTAGGAGATAATACTGAGATATAAAGAGACAGTTCGTAGTCATTGAGAGACAGCTCTGAGTCATTAGGAGGTAATACTGAGATATAAAGAGACAGTTCGTAGTCACTGAGAGACAGCTCTGAGTCATTAGGAAGTAATACTGAGATATAAAGAGACAGTTCATAGTCATTGAGAGACAGCTCTGAGTCATTAGGAGATAATACTGAGATATAATGAGACCGTTTGTAGTCATTGACAGAAGACAGTAATTAATCGCAAAGAATCTACCCCCCACTACATTTCTAAACTAATTCATAACTACACCCCTTCTCGGCCTCTCCACTCTCCTGTCTCCTGCACATACCCGTATTGCTAACTCCAGCTTACAGGTCTTCTCATGGGCGGCTCCATTGGAACAACTTCCCCCCATCAGACTCTTCCCTACTCGTCAATTTTTTTAATAATTCCCTAAAAATCCACCTCTTCAGAATAGCCTATGGATTATAATGGCAACTGCCGTTACGCTCAACTTAATTAGTGGGTCTATTCTCCACTTCATTTTCACCTTCCAATTGTGTTACTTTTCCATCTTGTGTTAAATCACTTTGTTTATGAAGTCCTAGTCCCACCTCTCTGCAAGTAATGTGCACAGCCTTCCTAAACACTATCTTTAAAGAGTCATCTAATGCAGGGGCGTACCTAGAGCATTTGGCATCCGGGGCGGACCCTGCCCCTCCCCCCCTTCTTCTCCCTTAAAATGTAAAAAAATACACCCACACATTTTTGTTAATGTCTTCAAGAATATTTATTGCACATAAAAATTGTGCATCCCCCACACATAAAAATCCTGCACCCACCCTACACATCAAATACCCCCTCACATCTCATACCCCCTCTTTATATAAAAACCCTGCACCCCATCACATAAACTTCATACATCCCCTACACATAAACTTCATACACCCCATCACATAAACTTCATACACCCCCATCACATAAACTTCATACACCCCCTACACATAAACTTCATACACCCCTACACATAAACTTCATACACCCCCTACACATAAACTTCATACACCCCATCACATAAACTTCATACACCCCCATCACATAAACTTCATACACCCCCTACACATAAACTTCATACACCCCCTCACATAAACTTCATACACCCCATCACATAAACTTCATACACCCCATCACATAAACTTCATACACCCCCTACACATAAACTTCATACACCCCCTACACATAAACTTCATACACCCCCTACACATAAACTTCATACACCCTCTACACATAAACTTCATACACCCCATCACATAAACTTCATACACCCCATCACATAAACTTCATACACCCCCTACACATAAAAACCCTGCACCCACTTCACAAAGTTCATACAGTCCCTACAAATAAAAAATCTGCACTCCCCTACACATCAAATTCATACAATCACCCTACACTGCGCAGCGGCCCACGTTGGCATGACGTCAGCATCACGTTGTGTGACGCCACAACACCTCCCCCTGCTCCTCCATATAACTGCAGTCAGTGCAGTATAGTGCGACCAGCCGCAAAGGCGCCGCGGCCCGCACTATAAGAATTGATGGGAGGTGACTCATGATACTGGCAGTCATCGCCCCCCCGCCCCCACTATCCCTTAGTACGCCACTGATCTAATGTATGTATTCCTTTATTGTACATTCAGTTTGAATTTCTTATCTCTGTTAAGGGATTGCTAGACCTTGCAGGTCCCTTAATTTATAGAGCAAAATTTCCAAAGTAAGTTGACATCTGATTGAAAATTAAACCATTTTTTTCATGTATGTCAGTCACAGCCAGGGAAGGTTTGGCTATTGCTGCATAAACAGAAACAAACTTTATTTAACTCCTAAATAGCAGAGAATTGAGCAGTGAGACCTCAGGGGCATAATCTATACACCCAGACTACTTAATTAAGCTAAAATAGTTTTGGTGCTTATAGTGTCCCTTTAATGTATTTGTTTCAACATATCACAATGATGGCTATGATAGTTACCGTATTTATCGGCGTATAACACGCACTTTTTCTCCCTGAAAATAGGGGGCAAATTATGGGTGCGTGTTATACGCCGGCCCTTTAAATGCTGCAGCCGCCTGAGCGCTCTGTCAAGAGCGGTCAGGCGGCTGCAGTTGGTTCTCACCTCCCCTCCCCTGTAGCGTGGCCGAGCTGCTCTGCTGTCCGCGGTGCCCGGCCGGAGTGATAGGAAGGTGCACGCTCAGTGTGCACCTTCCCGTCAGTCCGACCGGGTACAGGAAACAGAAACTCCTGTTCCGCGCGGAACAGGAGTTTCTGTTTCCTGTACCCGGTCGGACTGACAGGAAGGTGCACACTGAGCGTGCACCTTCCTATCACTCCGGCCGGGCACCGCGGACAGCAGAGCAGCTCGGCCACGCTACAGGGGAGGGGGTAAAAAGAGAGTGGGGGGGATAAAAAGAGAGTGGGGGGTAAAAAGAGAGTGGAGAGGGGGGGAGTAAGAAGAGGGGGGAGTAAGAAGGGGGAGGGGGGTAAATAGAGGGAGGGCTAGAACAGGGGAGGGGGGAGTAAGAAGGGGGGAGGGGGGAGTAAGAAGAGGGGGGGGGGGGGGGAGTAAGAAAGGGGGTAAGAAGAGGGGAGTAAGAAGGGGGTAAGAAGAGGGGGAGGGGAATAAGAAGAGGGGGAGGGGGGAGTAAGAAAGGGGGGTAAGAAGAGGGGGAGGGTGGAGTAAGAAGGGGGTAAGAAGAGGGGGAGTAAAAAAGTTCTGAGCTACCCTTATTTTGCTTCAAAGTTCTTTATTTGAAATTTAAGTTTTTTTTTCCTGAAATTTCCTTCTTAAAATGAGGTGCGTGTTATACGCCGATAAATACGGTATATTATTTAGCGAGAGACCTTATAATACAGAAGTCTGTGATACTAAGGAGGACAAACCCAATTAGATTCAAGTACCCACATTGAAATTAGTATTTATTTTATTTTACTTTACATGTTACCCTATGATATATTTTTTTCTACTCTTCCTTTTATGTCTGCTTGTAATTAATAATAACATTTGCAATATAGGAGGAATCATTTTTCATCTCATTGGCAACATTGCTTGATACACACTACAGCAAATCGATGGGACTTTGTTACACTTTATTGAACGCACTTTCAAATTAACGTGCTTATTTACGTGTTTGTGTTAAACACAGTACATATATTGCCCTCCTATATCGCTGTTGGTTTTATTTCCCACATTAGCTTGGTTGTAATTAACATATTATTTGCTCTAGGAAATGTTTTTAACACTTCCCCTCCTGGAGATGGTGCAGTGATTTTATTGGGAATGTAAAAGTCTTGTATATTTAACAAGATATTTTTTAGATTGTTTTTTTTGGACTTCCCTGTCTCTTTAATGAATAAAACATACAATCAATATCAGACCTCAACAAGCCTTTTCCACGTTCGCCATTTGTCAATAAATGGTCACACTTTATGGTAGTGTTAATTACAAGTTTAGTCTGGATAGTAATCAGTAAATTTGAGCCAATAGCTGTCCTTATAGTTATTGCTTTTGACTAGAAGAAAGGAATCCACCCATGCCCAAGGGATTATCTCTAGTGTAAATATTATTGTGTAATTAAATATATATGGGATATCCCAAGGGAAGATTTAGTAAATATTTCATGTTTTATACGGAAAAGCAATACAAAAAAAACAAAACGCTTTCCAATTGGCCATACGATATCTGATCTACCATCCCCATGCATTGACAAAGACCGAACGGTTAATATGAATGCACAAACAATTCATTTGTTCAGAGTGCGAACGTCACTCAGCTCACTTTCATTTTACCCGTAATAATAAAATATGAGAGTGAACAGAAAAAAGAATGAATGACGAACATAGAGCCATCCGTACATTCGTTCGGCAGTTTGCTATACATATACATACTTCAACATACACAGTACACTGCATGTCTGTAATTTAAAAAGCCAAACTAGTGATACGAATGAACGAATGGCACATTCATTTGTACACATTCGTTAGTGAGGCTCAATCCCATCAGATTTGATGGAGTGAGCAGAACGAATGAATGCAAAAAGAATGAATATGCCATTCGTTCATTCGGTTACTAGTTCGGCTTTTTGAATTACACAGAGGGTTAATAGAAAAGGCCGAATGAACGAACAAAGGAAAGGCTCATGGAAGAATTTAGTTGGGCGCTCATTCGTTCGTTCTTTTTTTTTAACCATTCATTATTTGGTATTCATACGAATGGACGAAAATGCCCAAGTCTAACTGATAGCATGTGCAGGACATACTGAATATCTGAAGGCTTTTTACTAAAGTGGAAATTATTGGAAATTCAGATTTAGCAAAATTGGAAACAAATTTAAGGACCAAAGCGAGGAATAAGGTAGATAAGTAGGGATTGATTTTTTTTTTCTTTTACTAAAATATATACATGTTGCTGATTCAGAAAGTTATTTTTTTTCTTGAGCGTAGCAGTGAACGCACGAACACATTGTGTCCCAAGAGGATTTCGAATCCATGTACACAGCATTGTTTTTAACTGAAATGAATGACAGATTTACAGATCAAGTACACATGTAGCAATTATTCCTACAGGGAAACATTGGACATGTATTGTGATGAGTATAGATACAGTGTATCCTTTCGAAGAAACCAAAACTAACATGGTAAGTACAAAAAGGCAATCTGGGATATTGCCAGAACATGCATTTCTCAGTAATGGTATGGCCATAGAGACCAATATATATATACAAAATACAGATTAAGGAACAGCGCACACTGAAAAATACAGTTTAACATTTTAGTCTACCTAAAATCACCTATCGTAGCAAACAGATATGGGGATTCAGTTTCACTATATGGCCGTATGCACATATTTGTTTGCTACGATAGGTGATTTAAAATAACCTTGTCAAATTTAAAACTGTATTTTTATGTGTGTGCTGTTCCTTAATCTGTATTTTGTAACAAACCAAAACTGTAACTGTACTTTAAACTTGAGGTCAAATAGCCAAAATGGAAAAAAATCTGTAAGACATCTACACTTTCTACACTAAAGCTTCAGATATGGATCGATAATGCAGACGTTAAATCTTCTATGGTTTTGATGTAATACTGCCCCACAGCCAAGATGTCCATGCATCTTTTATCATTACTGCTTTAATTCTCCATCTTTTTTTCATCACACACACAAACTATTCCCAGGGTGAATTCATTAAACGTTGTAACAGTATTGATTTAATCTCCTGCGTGGAAACAAGTCAAATATGTAATGTATACATATAGGTATAACCACGTCACTAGGGCTCTTTTTATTAGCAACAATTTTTCAAACCCTATCATGGATATGGTGCATTTAAACGTAGGACATATATTTACACTGTATGTAGCAGAATTTCAGACAAGCTCTAAAATATTGACGTAGAAATAATGTTTTGTCTCCTACAGTACATAGAATTGAAATGAATGCGCAGACATGGTCCAATTTTCTTATAGTGGGTAAATATAAATGAACTACTGACATTTTTGGGAAATTAACTTCACAAAAATACTATCATCGTGTAATAATAATATAAAAGAAAACAAGTCTCCAATGGGATGAGCCTGCTGCCCTTACTTTTAGTACCTTAGACCAGTTTATAAAACAGAAAATGTTGATAAACCTAAATAACCATATTGATAAAGGATGGGATAAAAGACGTGGCAGCGTTTACATCCCTCAATCCCCTATGGAATTCTAGCAGAGAAATTTGATCCTACACTGGGTGAAGACCAGCAGTGGATCAAAATAAAAAATTGGATTGTTTGAGCTGAATATTCATTGTTATTGCTTTTTTTTAGTGCATTATCAGATAGAAGCTGTGGTTGAAAGGCCTCCAGTTGGACAGGTAAGAATATCTCACTTAAATACTCTTACAAGCAGGGGTGTAATTTGAATTTGTGCTGCCCTAGGCATGACGGTACTTGTGCACCCCTCACCCAATCTAAATTTGCTCCATCCCTTCCTGTCAAGGCCGCAACTCTTCCTGTTTAAGACCAACACGCAGTTTGACTGACAGACACCCAGTGATACACTCACTCACTGGCACACACTCTCAGATACACATACAGTGACATACATTCACTGACAGACACACACTGACAAATTCACTGACAGACACACACATTCACTCACTAACAGATGCACACTGACAGACATACACTGACTGTCACACACATTCACTGACAGGCACACACACATTAATTGTACAGAACACTGGTGAGACGCAGTACTGGAGACCGTATCTCCAGAAGGATATTGATACTTTAGAGAGAGTTCAGAGAAGGGCTACTAAACTGGTTCATGGATTGCAGGATAAAACGTACCAGGAAAGGTTAAAGGACCTTAACATGTATAGCTTGGAGGAAAGACGAGACAGGGGGGATATGATACAGTAAAGGAGGAGACTATATTTAAAAGAAGAAAAACTACCACAACAAGAGGACATAGCCTTAAATTAGAGAGGCAAAGATTTAAAAATAATATCAGGAAGTATTACTTTACTGAGAGGGTAGTGGATGCATGGAATATCCTTCCAGTAAGGTGGTAGAGGTTAACAGTGA